TGGCTGCCTAATTTCCCATGACTTCTTGTCCATGTTCCAAACCTCATTCATCAGCTTTTCCATTAATTTTATGAGCTATCCACTGACCTTACCATACGTTCCTTTCTCTCTAATTAACCTAAGTTGGTCTCCATTGTGTAGGAACCTGGAAATGATTAGTACATTCCCCTTTGTGTAGAAGTCGCCTTTTCTATGAAGATAAAAAGATGAGGGAGAGGGTTGCCTCCTAATCAATTGCCCCTAAGTCAGGTGGCCAACTCTAATCCAGAAGAATCCATTATTGTGACTTTGGTGGTAATCATTTCTTTGCTTTTCTTTATAGTTTTACCACCTATGTATATATCCCCCCACAAAATGTAGTTTCATTTAGCTTGATTTTGAACTTTAGTTGAATCATACTGTATACATTCTTTTGTGCTTATTTCTTTCACTCAGTATTATGTTTATGGGATTCATCCAAGTTGTCAAGTAGAGCTCCAATTTGTTCATCTGCATGGCTGTAAGGTAACCCACTGTAAGAACATCTCAGGACTTATTTATTTATTCCACTGTGTGTAAGATGTTGTGTTGTATCAGTGTGGGGCTATAATAAACAAAACTGCTTTGAATATTCTGGTATATGTATTCTAAGGGCATTCAAGGGCATCTACTTGGCAGTAGAATATCAATCATGGGTTATGTGTACCTTTGACTTTCCTAGATAATGCCAAACCATTTTCTGAAGTGAACACACCAACACCACCAGCAGGCTTCAGGAGTTTCTGCTGCACGATGTTCTCGCCAACAACTGGTGGTGTCAAACTGTTTCATTTTAGCCACCCTGGAGGATGGCTCATAGTATCTCACTGCAGTTATAATTTTCATTTCCCTGATTAACAGTGAAGTTGAGGATATTTGCATATGTTTATTGGTCATATTTTTTCTTTGGTAAAGTCCCTATTTAAGTCTTTTGCCCATTTTTTTCAAGGAGTTTTCCTATGTTGTGAAGGCTAGTCCTTTATTAATTATGTGTGTGGTAAATATAGTCTCCCACTCTGTACTTTGTGGGGTTTTCTGTTAATTTTATGCTATCTTTTGATGAACAGAAGTTCTTTATTTTAATCTTATCAAATGTATCAGTCTTTTCATTTATAGTTGGTATTTTCTTTTTTTTTTAAAGATTTTATTTTTATTTATTTGACAGAGAGAGGCACAGTGAGAGAGGGAACACAAGCAGAGGGAGTGGGAGAGGGAGAAGCAGGCTTCCCGCCGAGCAGGGAGCCCGATGTGGGGCTCGATCCCAGGACCTTGGGATCATGACCTGAGCCGAAGGCAGACGCTTAACGACTGAGCCACCCAGGCGCCCCTATAGTTGGTACTTTCTATATCTTGTTTTAAAATTCTCTACCTTTGAAGTCATAAAGATATTCTCCTATATTACTTTCTAAAAGCTTTAAATGTTGTCTTTCACATTAAGCCTAGAAATGATTTTTGTGTGTGCTGTGAGGAAGGGAATTTTTTTTCCCATATGGATATCCAACTGTCCCGGCAGCATTTATTGAAAAGCCCATCTTTTCTCTACAGCATCTCTATCATACACGAAGTGTCTATATATGTTTGGGTCTATTCTTAGGCTCTCTATTCTGCTCCATCAGCCTATTTGCCATTCCTATACTAATACTATACTGTCTTATTTACTATAATATACAATAATTCTTGATCTATTATAGATCAAATTCTCCCAATATCTTGACAAATTTTGGACCTTTACACTTCTATGTAAAATTTTAATTTCTTTATCAAGTTCCACAAAAACTAAAATGAACAAACAACAACCACCTGATGAAATTCTGATTTGCGATCACATGCAATTTATAAATTAATTTCGGGAGAACTATCACCTTTACCATATGGAGTCTTTCAATTAATATCTTGTAACAGCACTCCAACCAGTTTTAAGGATTAACTTACTTCAAGCTTATGCACTTCTTGCTTGCTGACCTAAGTCCCTTGGCAGAACTTACTTTCCTTGAGTTTTGCAGACCACTGGCCTTGAGGAGTGAAGGACAAAACTTTGCCAGAAGATAAGGCCTGATTACGTTCTAAAGCAGCTACCGCTGATGCCAGCAAGTCTGTTCAGGGTGATGTTGACATAGAACTAACTGCCTGGGCACCTGCTTCTCCTGCAGATAGCCTCCCTCCCTTTTCTCATGCCTTCTCTTTAAATCCCTCCAGCTTCGCCTAGACAGTGATGAATGGTCTTTGAGATGTTACGCCACCATCTTCCCAGTTTGCCGGATTCTGAGTAAAGTAAATCTTCCTCTCCCACCATCACTTGTCTCAAGTATTGATTTTCAAGTGCCAAGCAGCTGAACCTGAGTTCAGAACCAGTTCTCTGTCCGGTAACAAACTCAGGATCCCTCCACTTATTTTAGGTCTTCCTTAATGTCACTCAATAATGTTTTATTCTCTACACAGAATTGGAATATTAGCACAGAGGCCATGTAATTATGTACACATGTTTAAAATTCTTACGTTTTCCTGATGAACAGAATCTTTCATCATGATTATCTCTAGTAATGCTTTTTGATTGATATTGATAGAGATGTATTAGCTGTAGTTTCCAATTGCTGCTGTTACAAATTTCCACAAGCTTAGTGGCTTAAAACAATACAAATGTATTATTTTACAATTCTGTAGGTCAGAAGTCTGATACAGGTCTCACTGGGCTAAAATCAGATGTTGGCAAGGCTGCATTCCTTGCTAGAGAGAAAATCCATTTCCTTATGTTTTCCAGATTCTAGAAGCCCCTTGCCTCCTCTTCAAAGCCAGAAACATTGCATCTCTTTGCCTTTCTTCTACAGTCACTTCCCCTTTTGACTGATTCTTTTTCTGCCTCCCTCTTGTGATTACATTGAGCCCACTCAGATAATCCAAGCTAATCTCTATATCGCAAGCTCCTTGATTTAATCACACCTGCAGAATCCCTTTTGCCAAGGAAAATAACACCTTAATCTAAGTGTTTGTGTCCCCCCCAAAATTCACATGTTGAAACCCTGATCCCTAACATCCTGGTACTTCAAGATGGGGCCTTTGGGATGTGATTAGAAATGGGATTAGGACCCTTATAAAAGAGGCCCTAAAAATCTCCCTCGGTTAGTCTTTCAGTCCTAGCCCTGGTACTAGTGGTTGCCCTCAGAGAAATCCTGGCTTTGGCTTTTGCTAACTGATCACTGTTCTAATTTCAATTTACTGTTCTTAACCATCACCAACAGAAGCCCTCTCCCCACTTCCAGTTCCCGCTTTGGAGATCCCTTACTTTCCTGCAAACTTAATAATGGTTTAAAAATAACATCATTTTTTCTCAAGTCTTTGGGGGTTTTCTTGCTTGTCTTTTTTTTTTTTTGGCAATGGAATGTGGTAGACTGTATAATGGCCCCCCACACAGGTCCCTATTCTAATCCCCAGGATGTTACTTATATGGCAAAAGGGGCTGGGCAGGTGTGATGAAGTTAAGGCTCTTGCTATGGGGAAATTTATCCCAGAATATCTGGTTGAACCCACTGTAATCACAAAGGTTGGTTGTTATAAGAAAGCAGGTGGAAATGCAGAGAGGGCAAATTGAAGTGATGCAACTTGTGAGCCAAGGAATGCCAGCAACTTCTAGAAGCTGGAGGAAGTAAGGAATGGATTCTCCCTTGGAGCCTCCAGAAGGAACAGTTTTGCCTGCACCTGGTCTAAATCTAACTGATTACTCAACCTCTCCACTTGGATGTCTAATGTAAATTTCAAATTCAACACGTAAAAAACAAAATTCCTGATTTCTGCTTTCAAAATACTTTCTTCTACAATTCAGTTCTTCCAAGTTGCTCACAATGTCTCCTTTACCACATACTCCACAAATCTTATCAGCTCTTTTAAAATATGTCCAGAATTCAATGAGGTTTCCATCATCTCAATCACAACCACTCTGGCCTAAACCAACACTATGGCCTGGATTACTGCAATAACTTCCTAACTGATAACACCTTTCACCAACTAATATAGATTTATTTTCCACCAGCTCCCTCTATATGGTCTCTAGGAGAACACTTTCTCTCTCATTCAGTGCCAGGAACCCCAGTGCAACCTCACAGATGGTCCACTTCCTAGAATGGATAAATATTTTATACCACTACGTACACAGCAAGTCGTTTAAGATGTCTGTGCGAAAATTACCTGCAGGAGCGTTTTACAAATTAAAAAAAAAAACAAACACACACACACCATAACAAAGCAGTTAATGAGGGAGAGGGGTCAGCTGGCTGAGGCAGTTTCCATAAGCCTTCCCTGTTTACCTCAGCTGACAGGTTTTCCGTTTAAGCCAATACTCTTTTGACCACTGTGGGTGGAAAGTTTCTCGCTCCACTCGCACCTCATCCTTAGCTGACCGCCTAATCACCAAGTCCTCGTCCTGCCTTGGCAACAGGTGAGCCCACGTGGCTTCGGGCTGGAAGATGCGCTTGAACCTTCCAGACCCTCACAAACGACACTGGATCCTGGACCACACGTACGACTTTAATCAGACAGAAAAAGGGGCACACGTCTCATTTACCTTCTCCACTGTACTAGTAACTTCAAATTTAAAAGCCAGGGAAGAAACCTTCTAAGACTGAACCTTCAACCTGGCTGCTGGTGCAGGAGCCGAGAGCACCCGCTAGAAGGCATAATCCTCGCCGGACTCTGGGGTTGATGGGAAGCGATATCGGCGTCTAGTACCCTGACCCAAAATGGCAGGTTATTCGATCACGCGAGTAGCGATAAAGCTAGAGCCACTGGAAGAAGATGAGAAGGGAGAACGAAAGCAGCATTTTCTTGCTCCATCATGAAGGCAGAGTTTATAAGGAGAAAAAAAGTCAAGGACGACGAAGCACCCAAGCGTTAGGAACTGCGGGACTACCGAGGTAGGCCAAAAGCGACTCTGACCTAATCCAACATGGCGCCAGAGAGTATAACCCGGAGCGGAAAGAGGCGGTGATTACCGTGATCCAAGATGGCGCTGGCATTTGAAGGAAGCCGAGAGGCGGGGAGCGCCAGGAGTGTCTTTGCCCTCTTTCAAGATGGCGGCCGCCGTGGGCGCTGTCTCTGGCTCCGCCCCGCGGCCTCGGCCCCGCCTCTCCCTCGTCCCTCCCTCCGCCCCCTCGCAGTGCCTTGTCCGGGCGGTGGTGTTCGCGCAAGGAGAGCGTGCTCCGGGAACTTGACATGGCGGCCGCGGCGGCTACTGCGGCGACGAAGGGGAATGGGGGCGGGGGGGTCCGGGCCGGGGCCGGGGAAGCTGGCGGCGCGCGGAAAAAGAAGGGTCCAGGGCCTCTGGCCACGGCGTATCTGGTCATCTACAATGTGGTGATGACGGCGGGGTGAGGCCGGGACTCGGGGAGGCGGGGAGCAAGCCGGGCCGGGAAGGGGGCTTTGCGGCCGGGCCCGCGCGCAGGGCAGCCCGGGCGGCGGGTGTCAGGGTCCGGGCTCCGGGGCACTGAGGGCAGCCTAGTCGGCCCAGGTGCCTGCCCGGGACTCCCGCCTGGGCGAGGGGCCGAGCAAGTTCTCAGGCTGGGTGTGCCCGAGCTGGAGTTCTCGAGCTCCAGGGCGGCACTGGGAAAGCCGCCCTGGCGCTGGTCCCAAGGGCCTTGGGAAGACGGGTGGGCTGGTCAGGGGTCAGTCCGCGGGGGGTGCGGCGTGCCGGCTCTCCTGCTCTCCTGCAGCGCCGAGGAGAGCCCCGGCGGCAAGTCACGAATGCGAGCCATTTCCCTCAAGGGGAGTGGAGGGAGCTGTGGCTGCAGAGTGACCATTAAATATTTAGGCGGCTGTTTTCAAAATCCAGACTGAGCTTTAATCTGAAAGGTAATGGAAAAGCGTTTAAAGTTTTTGACCAGTAACATAAGCAGAGCTGTGCTTTAAATGAGTTGAGACTTTCTAGAATGGATTGGGGTAGGGAAGGTGGAAGGCAGAGTTATTGGGGATGAGGGGAATATACCCTCTAAACAGGTTTTACCTCCTTTTGTTTCTCCCTCATTTTAGTCCATCCCTTGTCACAGCAGGTTTTTAGTTCTAGTTCTGACACTATCTGTGTGACCTTGGATAAATCACTTTGCTTTTCTTGTCCTCCGTTTTTCATCTGTAAAACTAAAGAGTTTGGATTAGGTGATCTCCAGGGTTCCTCCAGTTCTTTGATCCCATAGTTTTGGTGCTGAGGATCACAGGATCAGACTATTTGTTACGTTTTGTTTTGTTTTTAAGATTTTATTTTTAGGTAATCTCTACACCCAGTGTGGGGCTCCAGCGTACAACCCAGAGATCAGTAGTCGCTTGCTCTAACGACTGAGCCAGCCAGGTGCCCCTGTTGTGTATTTTTGAATTGTATTCATCTGTAAAAGATTTTCCCTAACATTTTATTATGAAAATTTTCTTTTTTTTTTTTTTAAAGATTTTATTTATTTATTCATGAGAGACAGAGAGAGAGGCAGAGCACGAGCAGGGAGGAAGGGCAGAGGCAGAGGGAGAAGCAGACTCCCACTGAGCAGGGAGCCCAATACGGGACTCAATCCCAGAACCCTGGGATCATGACCTGAGCTGAAGGCAGATGCTTAACCGACTGAGCCACCTGGGCGACCCCCCCTGAGCCCCGTGTTCCTAAGCCCGGTGCTCTTTAGCTACCGAGACCTACTTGTTCCTATATATCCTGACTGTAGCTACATTTACTTTATAACTGTGTATCCCTAAAAATGGTTTCTCTGGACTCAATGTTTGTTTCCCCCCCCGAAATTCTTATGTTGAAACTCTAACCGTCCGCCGCCCTCCCCCCGC